TCTAGGTTCCAGAAACCAGTTCTAGAACTAGGTTACTGTAACAAAGTCTTCTCACACTCTACAGTATCTCCCTTCTCAGGCTATATTCAAGATTCTTCCTTTAGAAATTTCTTTGCCTTCTAGTGTCTTGACAGTCACCTGAAAAATGACAGCTGGTTTGGCCAAGGCAAGTGAAAGAATCTCCTGATTATCTGTGGGTGAAATAAACAAGGCAGGACATCTTTCTCCTTTTTAATGCCTTTATTAAAACGATTCAGCTCAGGTTGGGGAGAAACGACAGGTTGCCCGTGCCACTGCTGCTGCCAGAGGAGGATGATGCAGCTGTGTTCACTGGTATGCAGGCAGAGCTGGAGCTTCTGTCCTCCAGGGAGTAGTGGGAATTCCGCTTCTTCAGTCTAACATTCCAGGTCCTCTTTCTAGTTAACATCTTTTTAGATTAGGGTGAGAAGTAAAAAGGATTTTAGCAGATACTGGATTAAGTTCCTCACCTTCAGACATTACTTAGGTCTTTTAATTCCATGTTGGCTTGTTGTTTTTAGGGTTTTTTTCCTGGAAAATTGCAAATTTTGGTGAAATGCATTCTCATCTGCATACTAGCTCTGACGTCACCCCTCACCTGCTACCTGCGGGGTCCGGTTCCGGTGTGGGACGAAGCATGGGGTGGGGGGATGGGGGACAGGATGGGACAATGGCGCTGATCACCAACCATTAACAGGCAATTGAAGAAAAACTCTCAACAATAGGTGACTGCAACATGAACCCTAACCTTCAACTCAACAGCAACTGGTCTAACTTGTTTTAACTCTGCAACCTTAAAAAAAATGGATAACTTTTTACTCATAACATGGGGAGTCAAGGCATTGCTATGTTGGTCTGCTTGCTCTGTGGTGTGTTAAGGAACCTTCCTAGTCCTGCCATTCACAAGACCCTCTAGCAGTCATACTCTCAACACCTGTGAAGCCCTTTCACAGTGGACAGCTGGAGGGAGCTAGTGGGTGCTTTGCTTGACTCCCTACTGTAGTATATGATTTGAAATAATTTATGCTTATGTGAAACATACATGAAATAAATTATGCTTGTAAGAAAAATTCTTAAAGTTTTAAACACACAGGCTGGAGTGGGGGAGAGATAGCTTCACAAATTGCAAAACCACAGATGGCAGCGGAGACAAAGACCTCATTAACAACCAAAAAAGACAAAGACCTAATTAACAAACAAAAAGACAGTGGCTCTGTATGTAGATGGGCCCTTTCTTGTGACAGTCTAGGAAATGCCCAAGTGATGAATACTCAATAAGCATCTAGGGATCAAGATAGCCAGATACCAGGTTCCTGTAACTCGAAGATCAGCATTCATTGCTTCCCAGAAACGGTTTTGTCCAGCCCACCACAGAGAAAGGAGACTACATGAATATGTGAAGCCACAAAAAGAGTAAGAGAAACTCTGCTCCAGGTGGAAAAAAACAGTATAAAAACTGCCTGGACAGAGACAGCCTTTGTGAACAGAGGGGATCCAAAGTGGTAGAGTTCAGATCGGAGTTTACGCAGCACTGATCCCGGGCTCGATGCTGTCCCTTTAATTGTGGCTATCAGAGGCCGAATCTTGGTCACAAAATAAAACCTATTTTATTAATTCAGCTTTATTATTACCTATAACACTGCTGTGTGGAAAATCACACTGTGAAAAGCCAGTGTCCATAAAGGAGGCAGATGAGTCCTGCAACTTTATTCAAATGAAGAGAGAGAGTCCACTAGGCCATGCCCCTGTGGGGGTCTCTTGAGTTTTTGTAGGATGCAGCCTCCTTTTATCCTAAACTCCCAGCTGCATGTTCCCCTCCCCCTTTCCCCATTGATTTGAGGTGCTAGGAAGGTACAGACTTCCCAAACTGCCTACTAAATATTCCCTCTTGGATGTGTATACTCCCCCCCTGCCCCCATCACACATATGACCATTAAAACTAGCTGTAAGCCCATCATAGGTGGAGAAGCAAATTTCCGTCTCTTAATTAAGCCTGTGCATTTTTCCCCAAAGTTCAGAAATTCAAGATGTGCTTGGCTCTATAACAAACTTGGGTGGCTAGATGTGTGTAATGACCCCTACACCCATTCTTCCAGAACCTGATTAGTCCTTTCAGATCAAGCAATTTGTGAAGACGTTAATACCCATTTCTAGTATCTATAATACCCATATCTAGGTTTGTAATGACCCCCACACCCATTCTTCCAGATCAAGTAATTTGTGAAGACATTTTTCCCATCTTTATTTCCACAATGTAGACTGTCAGCAACGCTCAGAACTAGAGAATGGATTTTTATTCTATCTAGAGATATCCTGGTCAGGAGGAGAAGCTCTGCTGGGCATCACTTTGCCAAGTGGAAAGATTCTTTCCTGTAAGGCAGTAAGCATTTTACTAATATTTCTTGAAGGAATGTGACCTTAAGGTATCGCATAGCTAAGGTCAATCTGACAAAAAATACCTGCACTGTACACAAGATCTGTTTATTAAGGGGGAATTGTCGCTTGCCCTGTTCTTTCTTCTGCTTCTTTTAAAAACTGATGTTTAAGTGGTGTTTAACTTGTGCCCTTATATTGATAGAACAAACATTTAAGTAATTTTGTCCCTTCTTTGTAGGAAAATAGTTTCACTGGTATCTTCATTTTGGCTGTAAGAATTGGAGAAATTTGAGTTATTACAGGTGTCTCTTTCTGTTCTGCCCTTGGGCTCCACTTCCAAGTGTGCCAGATCCATACCAGTCCAGTGCTGGCCTCTAACACAGCACTTCTAAACTTCTGAGTTTCATTGATCAGAATAGAAGTTAACAAAAATGTTGGTAAATAGTTTCAAGTAAGGAATTTTTTTATCCCACAACGAAGGAGAGGATAGCAATTACTAAAACAATCTCTAGTTGAAGGGAATGAGGTGTCTTGATTCTGCTTAGACAACTGTCCTTGCGGTGTCTTTGGTTGGAGTTCTGCCTAATTCACCTCTGTTCATGGGAAGATTCATGAAAGTGGAATGTTCTTTCTGTAGGATCATCCTCATTCTGACTTTCCTTAGTAATCAGGATTTTAAAGGAGTATTTACAGGACCACTTCTTACAAATGTGTATGCCAGGAGCCATCCTACTGTCATTCTATACTGCTCTAATTGCACCTGAATCCTGGAACAAAACTTTTATTACTCCTGATTTTGGAGGAAGGCAACCATGCATGTCCCTTGTGGGTGAACCATACATTAATGTGCTTTGACGGGAGATAATGACAATGAAGAAGGAAATATATCTTGCCAAGTCTGTTTTAAATAGGTTCCTATTTTTTGGGGACCTTCACTATACTCTGGAGAAACTGTTGCTTGTAGAGGACTAGGTATCCAGCTTCAGGGGAGTTGTTGATAGGAGAGGTCTTCTGTTGGCTCCTGAAGCTTTCAGGGTAGACTTATCTTCACAACTTTTGAAAACATAACATGGAATAAGAATGAAAGAAATTGTTAATGCTGTAATTAAGTGTGATGTACTGTACTATACTGTAATCTCATAGGGAATCCTATAGTATTTAGTATGCTGGCTTTAGGAGGAGCCACATAAGGTGCTTACAGTTTTCTCAGAAATATGCCATTTAGTTGTCAACTGCCTGTTTTTGCCTTCCTCCTTACACTTCTCTCTGAGTTGCTTCTTCTGAGTTCCTTTAGTTTCTAGCTGTCAAAAGAAAAAAAGTCTTGGTCAGGAAATGCAGGTTGGTCTTGACCATAAATATGAGAGTATATGCCTTGTGCCACTGTTGTAGAGCTGCTCAGCCTATAATTGTACAGATCTCTGCAGCAATCTTGGTGGCACAGTAATATGAGCCGGGATAAAGAGGGGTGTGAATAGGCATAAAGTATTGGAAAGAATAGACATGCATTAGGTTTGCATTTCTAGACTGTCAAGGCAGTCTGTAATTTGAATAATTTCAATTTGTGAAAATAATTTCCATTGTACATTATGATGGGAAACATAAGTTGTTCAATCCAGTTGAAGGTGAACCAAGGTGTGCCTCTAGTTGCACTGCAGTTGTCTTGTCATAGGCAGAGTTTCCTGTTTGCAATCTCTTCTGCTTTCATAACATGAAATTATCATGAATTGTGGTCAGATTTCTTAATAGTGAAGAATAGTTCTAAAATCACAGGTTTATCAATTTACCAGCACTGAATTGATTCAGTTAAGAGAGACAGAACATGTTAATCTGTTTTTTTCTTCTTAATATCTATATATAGATATAAAAACATATCGCTCTTGTCTGTGACCTCTTTTGTGTTCAGTAGCTCAGACCCATATTCTTAAGGGCACGATACGTACTGAATTGGGGAAAATTAATGTTGCTTTTCTTCCACTTTACTGTTCTTCCTCTACTGCTAAAGCACCCTCCTGTAACACAGAAGAAAGATAACTACTATTTATTAAAATAACAACTTGAAGAATAATGTAAATGAATAAATTAGATTATTCCGGTTTATATAACACTGATTTTGTCTGAATGTGAGGCAACACTAAATTTGTCTTCTACAAAACACATAAACTCATGAGTGAAAAGGAAAGTACAGCTAGTGATTTGTGTGAGGTAATTACGTATTCCTCACCAATTTCCCTCTCTTAACACTTCTTTTCCCTCACAGCTTTAGATATGGTGAAGTCTGTCTATATTCTAGCTGTATGCATATGATACAGCATATGATATGACAGGGCATATGATAATAGAAAAATTGGGAGTTTAAAATCTGGCTTTGCTTCAATAAAAAGTTGTAACCTGTTGAAATGAAATACCATGGCTGTGTTGATGTTCATACTGTATAAAATGTATTCTTATGTACTCTTATGAGTGTGTTTTCTCACCGCTTCTGAGTAAGTGGAAAAATTAATTTATTTGCAACTGTGTTAAAAAACAAAGTAGAAGAACTTATTCTAGGCTTGCAGATTAGGTCTTTTATTTACTTCAAGTCCTTTTTGTCTTTTTATTACCTACAGATGGCAATAGTGGTTGGAGATGTCCAGCTTGTCAGAATGCTTCTGTGCAAGTTCCTAAAACTTACACTTGTTTCTGTGGTGAGTTTCTCATTTGCTTTTGCAAAGAAAAACAGTTTTGTCATTTTGATTCCTTTTTCTTAATATGAGTTTCAGTATTGATGCTTGTTTGCTTACATGCCTGAAACTCAATTTTTAAAAAATGTTATTGACACTGGACGATGCCTGCACAGAGAATCATACATGTGCCGCTTGAAAAATGAAAATAAAATAATAAGTCCCAAGTGGTAAATATTTTTACATAATTATGTAGAAATAGCGATTTTTATGGAATAATGATAGATTTTGGCTGGTATCTTATGAGCTTTCCTTCTGTAGAAGAAATGGAATAACCTGCATGTTTACGTCTTTGTGACAAGACCAAAATAATCCACAACTCAAGGCTACAACTACCTAAACCTTTAAATTGATTTAGCAGTTTTGTGATTTATGTTGTTCAGAGACACATGGAGCTTAAATAGGAAAAAATATTCAGGCTTTTCACACCTCTGTGTAGATATGTGTTTAATAAAAAAGGTAAATGGCATGAGTACAGCACTCACCAAGCCATAAATATAAAACAGAAAGGAGAAATTATGTTACTTAATTGCACAGATATGAATAAGTTTTGTTTGGAATCTATACTTCTGTGATCTGTATTGTTTTCACATAGCTTTCTTTTCCCTAAATCAGAGTCACTGGAAACTTTCACCTCACTTTTTAGAAAACAGAATGTTCTGAATTTGAGACAGAAACTGTGTCAGTAAACTTGTCTAAAGAAGCTAGATTTGCTAAAGTATAGTTTTATCTTTTTATCTAAATGTGTTAGTGAATCAGTTAGAAACAGTGCAATGCAGTTAATACAGAGTTTTTGTACCACAATGTGTAAAATTTTATTAATATAAGGATAATAATTCAGTTATTAGAGATAATAATGCAGTCAGAATGAACTGACCATGAATGAAAATTAGACCAAATGAAAATTAGACTTTTTAAAAAGACAGGACATCTGTCTGTTAAATAGGAAAGAAATTCTCCTTAGCCTAAAGATGTTTCATGGTTTAGGAGATCTACAGTAAGAACTTTAAATTGTCTGCAGAATTATTACTCGCAGAGCACCATGCAGTAACATAAGAGTTCAATCTTCTGCAGATAATTTTACATTAATAATATATAATTTGGACATCATCAGTCACTTATGCAAACCCATCTTGTATTTGATGCAAAGTACTAACTGTGTGCTGTGTGTGGTTAAGTGTGATTTTTTTTTTCCACACTTTCACCCATGAGGAAATTCCTGTCTTGTTTTTCTTCTGAAGCTTCAGAACTTTGAGACTTTCCTGGGCATTCAATTAGTTTAATTGAAACTCATGTGAATAAATGCCGTCTGTAGTGTTTGCTCATATTTTTCTAACTTAATACTGTAGACTATACAGAGGTATATTAAAAAATTAAAATTATGTGACCCTGTCATGAAAAATACATTTTCTTGTTGGTTTTCATTGTCACAACTCAAATTTGCAACATTGGCTCAGTTGCTTCACTGTTAATTTAATTCCCCTCTTGCAGAAAGTCAAGAGAGGGTTAATGATGGCAATTAACCTTAACCCTGTTGACCATGAACTTAGAGCTATGAGATTTGATGATAATATCTCAGATTAATAAGATATGGTTTAGTGCTTATCTGAAATACAGAATACTTGAAGCTAACATGCTTCTTAAGACTTCGTTCATCAAAATTCATTAACCTTTAATATTTTTATTAATATAGAGTCTGCTTCTTTTTATAGAAGTGACTTTCATAATTCACCCGCTTATTCAACTTGCTATTCCCCATCACCATGTCAGGTAGATCTTACTTTCTGGGATTGGTGTCTTATTACTTTGTTCTTTTTTTTTTCCTTCCCTGCTGCATTGAGACAGCAAGGGAGTTTCACCCTTCAATTTTCTTAGCTACTGTGCAGCCTGACCAGCTGCAGGGAGCTTTTAGTTTTCATGTATTTTATCAGTTTAATTTAATGTATCAGCTACCTGCATGTCTGCTGATTGAGAGTACAGAAGGAAAGACTATTCTGGAGCTTGCTATTCCAATGGCACGTTCTTTTAAAAAAGCTGAATATGTATCAGTACAAAATAACATTAACATTTGTGTAATTTTTTTGTCAAAGAAGACTACTTGCCAGTATTTAAAGTACCACTTTTTCTCTTTGGTATGCTATCTTTCACAAATGCAGTCTGGTATTCAAAGCAATAAATACCTTTTTGTCTTTGACATGGTTTAGGTAAGGTGCATAATCCTGAATGGAATAGAAATGAAATCCCACATAGCTGTGGGGAACTTTGTGGAAAGAAGAGGCAGTGTTTGGACTGTCCACATCTTTGCAACATGTAAGTAAATGTTTATTATATAAACACTGAAATTATTTATAGAAAATTTCTGAAGACTATATTTGATTATTTTTTGATTCCAGGATATGCTTAGAGATTTAGAACCTATAGAGGTTTACAGTTCAGCTGAAGCCTGAAAGAAATTAAAAGCCTGAAGTGTTTTTGTGTTGGTATGTCTAAAGTGAGTTCATGAGAGCATGAACAGGATGTCTACAATAGTTGTAGCAACATTTCTATCATATTTTAGGAACTGAACCAGCTATCTGACTTGCTTTCAAGAATTTTCAGTGAAATAAAGAAATAATATGTCTGAAAGTAACTCTGAACATGTCCAGTGGTCCACCAGATTTTTCAGGCGCTGTTATTCATGTGAAAGTGTTTGAATATCTTAATTTGGAATCAGTGCTACTTGTTTAAATTGAAAGACCACTTCTTTCATTTCTTCTTTTTTTTTTTTTTTTTTTTTTTGGCTTGCAAACTGTTGAGGATAAAAGGACGTTTGTATTTTTTTTATTTGTCGAGACCATCAGATAGTTTAACCAGAATCCCTCATGGAAATTTGAATCAGTATATGTAACTCAGATTGGTTCTGCTAACATTTTATTGATATAATTCAGTGAAAAGGGGCAAAGGAGTTGTCGTGGTTTGGAATGGGAGGAAAATTTAGGAAGTGAGACAAAAGCTTTTTGTGTAACTGACAGTGTGTTGAACCACTGAGAAGCTGGACACGCCTCTGTGAAAGACACATGTTAAAGACGAAAGAAACCCGGGAACTTTTTCTTTCCGTTCCGGCCGGGAGCGAGGTAACACGGTTGGGCGGCCCCTGCCATGGGGCCGGGCCGGCCGGCCCTGCCGCGGGGTTCAACCCCCTTCCTCGGACCGTCTGCCAGCCCTCAACATCGGCTGTTGGGCAGGGAGAGGGGGTGCCGTGGGGCTGGCTGGAGCCGGCCTTGCTAACATCTGACTGCTTACTACACCCTCGCCCGCCTCCAGCCCAGAAGCCCAGCCGATCCCCGGGAGCAGCCCTGGACTGGTGCCGGGATTTTACTCCCTTGGAAGCCGCCCTCAACCATTGGGAGGGGGAAGGAGAAGCTACCCTCCACTCCCAATGTGCTGCTGCTGCTGGGTTCTAGCCTGGCTGATTCGATTTGATCTGTACCACTTTCCTAATTACAAGTCCTACTACTGTAGCGCCCAGTCTGACCCCTACTGGGCTCCAGGTGGGAAGTTACCCTTTCAATGCTTTAATCCTCCCTCGAGTGAGAGAAAGGAACAAGATGCAAGCATGTAAAAGAACAACATGAAAACATCATGGTCAGTGAAGAAGATTTAAGTCTCAGATGGGAGGGAGGGGAAGATGCCTTGATCTTAGGGCTCAAATCCTCTTGTAAGCTATGGAAAAAACCTCTTTTTCCTTATAACACAGGAAACTATGGGGAGATGAAAGTGTTCAAATTATAGATACCAAGTAAAGACCTCTTTGCCAAAATAAACAGATGTTAAAGTAGTTGTAATCCCATGAGAAGTTTTAGCAGAGAGAGGGTAATCCTGTGCCCCCAGGAGGAGAAAGAGATCTCTGTTCCCAGGGATGAAGATGATTTTAGAGATAAATAATGAGAATTTTTACTTTTGAACAGTTCATCTTTGAAACAATACTCCATAAGTCAACATGGCCCATTGACAAGCTGTGGGAAGATTTGTGGAAATGGGAAGGACTTCATGATAACGGGGTTCCCTGGTCGGCTCTTATTCGTGACAAAAATGAGAGCCATGAGAAGCTGTTTTTTTTCTCTTGTGAAGAAGTCTTCATAACCTTAATAAGAGGAACTTCTCTCCCTAAGTGAACTAAATAAAGACTATTTTAGAGGTGGTAAACTAACTAGAAATTTTAGGTTTTGTTTCTTTACTTTATCATGGGAAAGAAAAGGTTGTGGGGGAAGAAGAAGTGTTCTGAAGGGTTTGTTCTGATTCTTACCATTTTTTTTTCCTTTTAGTTACTTTTAATAAATTTTTCTTTATACCCTTTTAAAGGTTTTGAACCTACTTTACCTTTCTCCTAATCCTATCTCACAGCAGGAAATGAGTGCACTGGTAATTAGCCAGTACTGAAGCCCACCACACTCACCAACACATTGGTTGGGAAATTTTAAAATTAGGCAAATCTTAAATTAATAAATCCAGACCACTACAGGAGGGCATCTCTGTTTTCAATTTTGGATTTTTTACATTAGATTTTTTTTTTTAGTAGTGTAGTTGCATTGATAAAATTAACATCATTAACACACTGATTTTTTTTCAGTGTATAAATATGCTTGCTTGTCAGAAACATAAATTATATGTTGTTCCTATTGTGTCTAGCTTCAATTTCCATGGAAGTTGGTCCTTAACATCTGTTCATATTTCTGGTTTTGGAAATTTTTGATAGAAGCAGTTTTCTGCTCTTGGTCAGAAACTTCACCCATTCCAACAAACAGATTGTCACCTGACAATTTTGCCAAGATTTGCTAAAGCTCAGAACTTTACTCTGAACTTTGTATTTAATGTGTTCTGCTTCAAATATATTTCAACATTTTATTGAATGTTAGAATAATTCTTTAATACTTGTTTCCCATACATGAAAATGTTCATTAGATTTCTTTTTGATATTAGATTTAATTTATAGTTATGCATTATGTATTTATGCATGCAGATTTATGTTTTATTTCATTTAAGTGTCATGGCTGTTTTCTTAATTTACTTTCAACTTTCACACTACACTTGAGGTAGCTGATACTCTGAACAGAACACTGATTCTCATGGAGACCAGGTACAGGCCTCCATCTCAGGAGAGGCATATGTTCATGGACATATCTTTTGCCCAGTCAGAAATAAGCAGACTTCTTAACCACTTTGAGAACTCCGTGACTGCAATTTGTTGCCTGACAAACTTTCCTGTAGGGCTTGGAAGCAGATATTCTTATCTTCTTTCCTGTCCTAGTCTACAGTAGAGGTTCAGTCTTTGTCATTCTCTTCTGGAAAGTCTTCTGAAGAGTAGTGACAATACTGTGACGTTGGGGTGCTACAAATTCTTAGTCTCTAAATGTCTGATCTGCATAAAAGCTGTGAAAATTGAGTCCCAATTTGTGACCAGTTGTAGCATATTTAAAAATGTTATCATTCAACTTTATGTTTCACATGAATAAAACTGCGATGAGATTATCCAGTCCCAGAGGTAAGGCAACAGTAGGCATGCAGATCAAGATAATGGATGTTCTTGACACTCTCTAACTTATGATGGTGAACTGGAGAGGAATGCACTTTCAACAACAGTGTTACCCAGTTCTGGATGTTCATCACATTTTGGACACTTCTTTCTCCCATGTGGGAATCTTTAGTGTGTGTGACACAGGCCACCATCATGTGCTGTATTAAAAAGCAAGTAGGAACTTTGTTCCCTCTTGTTGTATCAGTGGTGAAGTTAGAGATGCAGGGTTTTAGTATTGGAATGCAGATGATAAGTCTGGATCATTATGTATGTGTCATGGATTGACAATGGCACAGTGCCAGTGCCCCCATGAAAGGTGTATCCCCCAAAATGGTTACTGTGAGATGTGACCCGGGAACAGAACAAAGCAGGTTCTAACTTGGGAATGGAGGAAAAAAGACAATACTTTATTAATCTACACAGACACAAAAAGGAAGGGGAAAAAACTACACACATAACAATCCACAATAGAACACTTTCAAAACACTCCTCGTCCCCAGTGGCCACACCAGGTGCCAATTTGAAATGTGGCCATTGGTTGGTTTGACCGTAACTTCCCAAAACTTCACTTCCGGGTCAAACCACGACAGTATGTCTGGGCAGAGATTTTCCTGAAGAGAGCGCTCTATTTCATGATTCTTTCTTAAGTTTAGATGATCTCAGAACTTCTTGCAAGCATTTATTTCTTTGGATTGTGGATTTGCTGTGTGCCATTTTCCCCTCCTCCCACGTTTTCCCATAAGGTGATACGGTTTAAACCAGAACTGTCATTCTGTTTGCAGATATCCTAAAAGCTGTTCTGTTTTTCCTTTTCAACACCACAGCCCATATTGGTGAAAATAAGTAAAGGTGATTTACACTGCCAATTGACAGGGGCAATTTAAAGGACACAGACACCAATGGAAAGAATGGTCTTCTTATTTTACAATGAATATTAAGGTAATACAAAAGTAAAATTATACATTTAATAAAACAACATGCTTGGCTCTAGCAACAAGCAAAATGAAGCAAGGTAGTGTACCTAGTTATTACTTTGTGAGAGAAAGAATAGTGATTGAGAAAGTTAGATACATCATCAATTGCCTAAATATTCTACTATCACCCAGAGTCCGCAGTCGCTGGGAAGCTCTATTTTGCATTGAGGACCTGGAGAACCCTTCCCAGCAATTAGGAAAATCTTGCATGGTGAGTCCACCCATAGGTGAGGCCTCCAAATTTGCCCTGAAAGTGGGTCCAGCTTTTGTAGGCCCAAATCAGCAAGTCAGAATGACTTGATTGTATTTTTTAGCACAGAAACACCTGAATCTGGTGGAATACTTGCTGACCAGCCAGGACCAGGGCTTAGCCAGAGCCCAGGCCTTGGCTGGGAGGGTTTTCCCCTAAAATACCCTACAAGCAAGCCTCTATTCGTGTTAGTTGAGAAAATTTCTTAAAATGATACATTTCTTGCAGATAAAGTTATGTGAAAGTTTTTAAAGCAGGTGGTTTGGTTGTAAACAGTGGGTATAAGATCTTGGTCATCTGTTTTTAGCTAAATAATACTAAGGGTGTCAGTAGTCATACAGTGATTAGGATCCATCTGGTAAGTCAACTCTGGCTTAAGCCTGCTGCTCAGGCCTGAGCACATCAACTGGCTTAGTAATACATCTAATATTTACTCAGATTTATTGAAATGCTAACCATTTATATAAACAGCTGATTTGGCAGAGCTGAGGAACAGGTAAGCAGCTATTTGAAAGGGGAATGCTTGGCAGACCTTTTGCTAGTGTTGTGCTGTGGCATGCATAACACTTCTCAAGGTGAGTTCACATTTTTAGTTTAAAAACACTGACATTTATTTTACAGTGTTAGGTTCTACATTAAAGAAACATCTAGCTTAACCCTCAATAAAATTTTCCTGATAATAAACTTCTTAACAAAGCAAAACTTCTTTTAAGGCTCTGAAGTTCTCCCTGCCAGCTGAAACTATGCAAGGCCTTGAGAGCATTTGAAAAAGGTCTTACAAAGCAGTAAATGAAATTTCTCTGTCAGACAGTACCCTTTTTCTGACCCAGAGATGGGGCAACTGAGAGGTGTTTTAAAAACTTTTATTCCATTTTCAGTCTCATGAGAAGGGTGAGACAATACAGATGTTATAATTCACATCATCACAATCAGAAACCAGCTATTTCCTAATTACAACACACTATAAGTGTTTCTTGGCCTATCAGGTTTTTGCCACACCATGCTGTAGATGCCTTAAAGCCAATCATCTAAAACTGTCCCTCATGGGTCCTAGTACATGGCATATTTCATAGTTCTATTTCTCCAAAGTATCTAGTCTTATTTGCCAGGCCATCCATTGAAACTTTTTTTTCTAGCTCCATTTCTCTCTCAACAATATCTGTCCTATTCTATAGCATTTCTAAGTCAACATTTCTTATCTCAAAGTTTGCATACAGATGCATACTGTGTGGGCCATCTGTCAGGCCCTGAGATCTCTACAAATCCATTTCCCACATCTCAATTTAAATTTTAGTTGCTGGACTTCCTTCATAGATCTTTGGTACTGTAATCTTTTCGTAGTAGAAGAAAAATCCCTTTTTTGTTCTGTTATAGTATCTAATATTTTCACTGTCAGGCAAATGGAAGTTTAATTTTTCCTCTGTCTAGATGTATCTGTCTACCACTTTTCTTGTATGCCAGTTCTCTAGAGCAGCAGCAGTAAATTGCAAAATAATCCTCCTTGCTAATGATAGATAATGAAGGTTCAGTTAAAAAAACCTCTGCATTCATCAAACAGAAGTTAATACTGAAGTCTTCAGCATTTTTGAGTTCAGTTTGCAACATTGTCAAGTAATTTAACTTAGTTTTTTGCTTAATCCCCTAAACCAAGACTAAAACTCTAGAGGTATCACCCATCTGTATCATTTAAGGAGCATTTTCTGCACTTCCTGTGCATGTCTCTATGCTGAGTGAAAGTTGAATTTCAATCTTAATTGTTGTATGGATCAAGTATATCCTAGAACTATAGTCATACTGTAGCTTCTGTCTAACTAAATAGTGCCAGAGACTTTTGCATGTGTATCTGTAGGGATGCATAAGGAACACTTACTTCAAAAGTCAGAAGTTTGATTTCAAAGGATTAGTTTTTGCATTTCTAGAATTTTTCTGTTCTTATTAACAAAAGGTCAGAAAACTGTCTCAGAAACATATGTTGTCCAAACTTTCAGATGTCTGAAAATTAATTGTCTGATACTGTTCTAACAAAAGGAATCTTGCTATAAGACTGCAGTCTATTATTACTGGTACTTACAACTTTAAAATATTTGTCATCAATACAAATTGCTGTTGTGAGATACAGTATCATCAGAAAGTGTGCCAGGAGTGGGGTTATGGAAGAAATCTTAGCATTGCTTGTATATGAGAATGTTGAGAGAAATAATACGCCAGGTAAAAAACTGAACGTGAAAAGACTTCTGAAGATGATGTGCCTTCTCGCTTTTCCAAGTTATGACCTAGATAATAGTATTTTGAATTTATATTTACCTTAATCTGATTCTTAGTTCATAAATTGGCATTCAGCCTTTAGAATCCTACATGGATCTGTGAGAACTGAAGTCAAGACAGTGCAATTTATGGTACAGTCCTTTTACAAGAGGTTTTCTTGTAAGATAGGTTTTCTTGTATGTTACAGAATTCATGTACAGAATTCTCATTGTCTCAAGTTCCACAATACAGTTTTAATTAATTCAGTGGTTTTGCTGTCTTCCTGCTT